ACCTGTGGCCGCATCACTCCAATCTCTGCCTCAGTAGTCACATTGCCTCCCCTTTCGTCTGTGTCAAATCTCCCCGCCTCCCTTTTATAAGGACACTTGTGATAGCATTTAGGACCCCCTGGGAAGATCCAAGAGAATCTCTCCATCTTCAAGATCCTTAACTTAATCACATCTGCAAAGTCCTTTTTTGCTATATAAGGTAATGCCTATAGGTTTCAGATATTAGGATATAGGTATCTTTTGGGGGCCATGATTCAGCCGGCGATACCCAGGACCTTAAATATACCTGATCTCGTGTACATCCCCCTGTCTGCTCTCTACCAGAACATGAGGCATAGGTCCAGAAACAAAAAATTATTGGCCAAAGTTTTGACCCAACTGGCCTGGGGAGATGAGTTGACTCCATAATTGAGCTATAGCATCTGGGATAGGTAGTCTGGTAAGCTTTGAAGACCACCTTCTAGACAGCAGATTTAAAGATGTGGGGCAGAGCAGACCAGCAAACAAAGAGCTGCCCTTCCTCGGTTCACCCCAACTGAATGGGTGAGTGGATGGAAAGCCATCTTCTTGGGTGATGGGCACAACCTCCTTGAGTATTTGGATCCCCACAGCCGACCTGAGCTCCCTGGTGGTCCTCCCCACTGACGCTTTCAGTCCCTCATCATCTTTAGAAGGAGCTTTTTGCCACTTGCTCTGAAACAAGGTCTTCTAGGGACTCCCTCTCTCTCTCGTCCCCTCCCTGCAACCCTGGGAGTTTTTCCTCTGTAGCCAATGTAACAGCTAATCCATTTCAGTTGCATAAGATTAGAAACAAGGAGACTATTTAAAAGCCCACTGGCCTCCCTCCAGTAGTCACTCAAGGTGTTTACTCTGGAAAAAGTACCGAGTTCTATATCCATTCTTTGTGTAAATTCTCCTTTACTTCCCGTGTTCCTTAAGAAGGACACTTTCCTGGGGGCTCTGTGGGGTGAGGTAATGTTCTTCCAGGAGACAACTGAACCATGAAGTGTCTTGTAAATGAGACCTTAGAAGGCCAGCCAGAGAATTTGAGGAGAGGAGCCTTTGGCATGGCAGTGAAAGCGTTTTGTTTTTTGTTTGCTTTTTGGTTTTTCACCAGTTAGCTGTGGGTGGAGCTTTGAGATCATTGCAAACAGAGTGGCCAGTTCCCCGCTCCCTGACTTTTAAAAGAAGTAACTATTTGTCCCTTTAACTTTTTCTGGAGTCAGTTGGATTGTGACACATACCTCATTTATTCCTGTTTGATAATCAATTACCTGGATCAAACTGCTATTAAACATGACTGGCTGGGCCAATGTTTTCTGGTCTGCAGGTCATAGTTGTACCATCTACATAAAATAAGCCAGTCGCTGCCCCTAATGCCAGACCTGAGGAAGTATTTCTGAGACAGTTCAAGGAGCAGACCCCTCCCCCCCAAATCCTGTTTAAAACTGGGAAAATTCAGGATACTCCAATGTCATTTTTCTGAAACGCCATCTAACTTGTTCAGAAATCCAAAGCTCAGGAAAAGTAAGCAGTGAGATGAGCTCCTACCTCCATCGTCAACCTCTTTAGAGATTAAGGTCACAATTACCCTCCTCTTCGCAATAGCTCCCACCAACATCCTTCACATAATTAGACCATTATGATGAAATTAGTACCCAAGGTAGACATGAATATTTTAGTAGTAAGGATAGTAGTGAAATCGGAGAAACATCATGTACTGAGGACGTCTGCCATGTGTCCTTTTACTGAAAAGATCCTGGGAGAACTGGAGTTAAGCCAATGAAAGATGATACAAGTTGATATAAGCTGTCTTTTAATTTCATTTTTGGTATGAGCATTTCATATCGCAAGCCCCTTGTTGCTATTCCCTTTACAATAAAACCAAAGGAGGTATTGAAAGGGATGGTTGGCAGGAGTGGAAACATCATAGAACACATAAAGTCCTGCAGAGGAGAGGTGTTTCACCCACCGGGGAAGCCACCATGTTGTTTCTTCATCCTTCTTTAATGCTAACACTTAGGTCCCTGTAGTTGACTCATCTTATTATAGGTCACTGAACAACACGTCCATGATAGCCTGAGGGGGGTCTGCAGGTCCGTTTTTCTCTGCAGATCTGTTTTACGACATAGAAGGCAGGAATGCACATCACTGCACTAGAAGCTTGCTTTGACACTGCCTTGGGTGGAGGGATGTGTTTGTGGACACTGAGAAATGGGCATGGAAAGACACTGGGAGAGGCAGAGGAAGAGGAACAGAGAAGCAGAGAGAGAGGAAGAGAGACCCAGTCACAGCCATTGTGGGAGATTGAGACAGGGACCAGCCTACTCACAGATGGACTCTCTTCTTCCACTGGCATGGCTTGTCTGCCTTGGCTTTCCATGGGAGGCCTTGGTACTGATGAATAGAGGGCTGCTTCCTGCCTCAGTCTGGGCTGGTTAGAATGCCCTTCATGCTTTCATCAGTGTTTAGCCTGGTCAGTAATAAATATTGGATGAGTTCCTCCTTCAAACACCAGTGGTTGCCATTGTGAAGAAGCTATCTTGAAACGTGACCTAATGTGCTCTTCGGCTGCTTTAAATTATTTGGGACTAAAGATTCATGCATCTGCCTATCCGTGTGATTTCAACTTTTTTTTTTTCCTTTTTGAAATTTGCATTATTTTTTATTTACACAAGCAGCACATGAATGCAGGAATATATTCCCATAATAAAAAAGTCCAGGACAGAGAGAACATGAAAGATATCTTGACTTTCAGCCCCAAGCTTTGTTCCCTCCCCAGAAGTAAGCAGAGTCATAAATTTGCAAGGTTCTTTCCAAACTTTTTAATAATTTATTTATATGCATGAATATTTACCTAGAAAAATGTATAGTTTTGCCGTGTGTGTGTGTGTTTTTACTACACTGTTCATGTCATTCTGTGGCTGTGTATTTAGGTAAATGGTGTCACACTGTTCCTATTCCATATCATTACATGGCTTGCTGCAAAAACGTGGCTTTCATTTAATGGTATGTGTTAGAGACTTCACGTTCAGCTTCACATCATCTTGTAATGTGTACATGTATTAGACTTTGCTCCTTAGTGAATCACACTGATTGTTTTCAGTGTGGAAACATCCCAAATTATTCTGTCAGTAACTTTCTGGAACAGATTGGTTTATATTTTAGCAGAGATTTTTCTCTGTGAGAATAAGCTCTAGGGTTGGTTGGTTGGTTGGTTGGTTGGTTGGTTTCTTATTAACCCTTTGTTGTGTCATTGTCAGAGTCTGATAAGACACTTGTGAAATGAGTTGGGTAGTAGCTTTATTTTATTTTTTATTTTTTTATGTCCTAGAAAAATGTAGGTACACAGGATTTACCTTTGCCTAGAAGATTTGGTAGAACTCACCCGTAAAACCATCTGGGCCTAATCTTTTACTATTTTTTCAATTTCTCCCAAGATCACTGGTCTGTTTAAGCATTCTGCTCATTTGTTGAGCCAAATTTATTTTAACTTTGAAAAACATCCACTTTAAGTTTTCAAATATTTTGGTTAAAGTTATGCATAGTATCTCTTATGGTGTTCACCTTCTCTCTGTATTTACACTCCACCTTTCATCATGGATATTGTGAGTTTACGGTTCTTCCTCATCCTCCTTCCTACCCCAACTCTCTGTTTCTCTCCTCAACACCTGCCAAATTTTATCTAATATATGCATATTCAGAAAATAATTAACTTTTACCATTGTTTTATTATTTGGGGTTAGGTTGTTTGTTTGTTTTTGTTTCTGTTTTTGTTTTTTCAGTACGCGGGGCTTCTCACTGCCGTGGCCTCTCCCGTTGTGGAGCACAGGCTCCGGACGTGCAGGCTCAGCAGCCACGGCTCACGGGCCCAGCCGCTCCGCGGCACATGGGATCCTCCCAGGCCAGGGCACGAACCCGTGTCCCCTGCATCGGCAGGCGGACACGCCCAACCACTGCACCACCAGGGAAGCCCTGGTGTATATATATATAATGTATATATAGTACTCCCATCTTTCATTTCTAAGAAGTTTATAATTTCTACTTTGACTATTCTGCTCAAATCAAGAATTATTTAGAAGTATGTATGTTTATGTTTAATTCCTATGTGTGTAGGTTTTACACACTCTCTGTCATTAATTTACAAGTTGGCCTAGTCATGGTCAGTAAGCATGGCCACTGTAATTTCTGACTCTTGAAAAGTACTGAGATTTTCTCTGTGGCCTAATCATGATCAGATTTTGAGATTGTTATATGTGTTTGAGGAAGCCAGGTACAAAGAGCTCAAATATTTGGTGATTCTTATTGGTGATCCTTTTCATTTAAGACGCCCTGTATACAGCTATTGCATGCACACCATGGTGCAGAATGCTAAGAAACGTGGGTAAAAGGAGCACCCAGTTCTTCCTAAGTGTAGGCAGCCACTCTGGACAATGCCAGTCTCCCTTCAATGTCATACTCACTGCCTATGCTACAAAGCAGACATTCTGTTGTTCACTGCATGGCCCAAGGGAGGAGAGGGTGAGAGAGGGCTAAAGAGAGGACCAAGAGAAATAAAAATTACAGCTTCTCCTACTTGATTCTACAACCCCATCACCTGTCAACTCCCCCTGGCCGTGAGTTCACCTTGTAGTGGAGGCTTGTAGAACCTCTCGTTCTTTGCAGCAGTCCTCTGCTATATGTAGGTTTAGGTGTGTGGTTTCTTTCTTTTACCTGATGACATCAGATTTTATATATACATAATTATTCTATAGGATTTGAAGGGGAAGGGGGAAGCTTCCCAAACAATCACCAAATCATCACCAAACAACCGGGAGAAGGGAATTCAGGGTCAGATGAAGGGAAGAAGAAAAAAAAAAAAAGACAATTTATGGACTTAGTCCAAGTGTATGAAGAAAAGCTTTTGCAAACACATAAATATCAAATGATTAACCTTTGATCTTCACTTGTTTTTTAATTGTGTTCACTAATGAGATACCCTTTTTCATTTTCAGGTCTTAAATATAATCATGGCCAAACCTTATGAATTTAATTGGCAGAAGGAAGTTCCTTCGTTTTTGCAAGAAGGAGCAGTTTTTGACAGATATGAAGAGGTAAAGAAGCATTATTAATCGTTTCTCTCAAAACATTCTTATAATTATTTCATTTTAATCACAGTATTGAGTAAATAGTCTTTGACATAAGTAAGAATATCCTGGAGATTTATAAGTTGGAATAGTTGGAAAGAGTCAAAGTTATGAGATATAATAATAATGATAATGATACTATGATTTACTGAGCACTCTCCCTGTGCCAGATATAATAATAATGATGAAACTATAAATTATTATGTGCTTACTGTGGGCCAGACAACTTTCTAAGCACTTCCTGTGTATTATTTGTTCAATTCCTTATAATAACCTTAGAAGATTGTTGCCATTATTATGCTTGTTTTACAGATGAGTTTCACAGAGTAATAGTTTTTGCTTAATGAAGTGCTTCTGTCAGGCTTTCCTTATAACACTTTCTATTTGTCATAAATGTAGTAGTGATTGGACTTTGTGCTGGTCGCGTGCATTGCTCGTCTCATTTATACACATCAGCTTGACCAAAGCTTTGCGTGCCTCTGCTTCTATTATTTATTGCTTGTGCCCTTGCAAGATGGTGATGGCTCCAGGCTTTCTAGAAACCAGGGGCTTGGGGCCACCAGTCTGTTCAGAAGGTTTAGGATGGAGAGTGGAAGCCTCCCTTGCATTGTTAACATGTTGTTTTTCTTAGAGTTTACTTGAGTTTGAGATGACTTGTGGAGGGGTGTGTGATGATACTGTGTTGCCTCTAAGGTGAAGTAAGATGCAAAACTTGTTCAGACTTCATGCAGAGTCAGAGTTGGTTCCCTTCAAAATCAGTGGAATGTATGTGGCTCATTGTGGTGGCCTCCCAGGGGTTCAGATCATCAGGCCTTTTCGTGAGGTCTGCAGGCTGACACAACTCACTAACTGGTTGACTTGTTTTTTCCAAAATATGTATCATAATACTCTCTAGATTTATACCATAGTCGTTTTGTGTAAACAGAATTGAGAAAGGCAAAGGATGGACCCAAATGTAGTCAGTATTCTTCATATTGAATTAAAGTATTGTGGTGACAGCTATCTATACTACTGAAACTTTACTGCTTCCCTAAAAGAACAGCATTCTGCTCTAAGAAGAAACAAAACAATTTTCTACCACCTGGAGGCAACCACTGTTAACTCTTTTGCAGTTTTCTTCTAGTCTTTTTTCTAATTGTTTTTCCTCTTCCATAGTTGTCATCATAGAGTAATCTTGAGAATACAAATCAGAACCTCTTCTTCCTCTATTTAAAATGCTTCCATGACTCCCTCTTGTAGAATAAAGGCGACTCATCAGAATGAAATACAAGGTCTTCCATAATTTGGCTCCTGCCTAATTCTACAGCCTCATTTCCCACCAGTTTTCTACAAACACTCTCTGCTTTAACCCTAAGAATATGCTTAAAATTCCCCCAATAAACTATTCTATTTCATGCTTTGTGCTTACTGCTGCCTTTTCCTGAAAGGCACTTTTCCCTCCTTGTTTGACTGGAAAACTCCTATTTATCCTTCAGAACCCAGATGAGAAATCTTTACTCTTTGATATCTCCCTTGCCACATTTGATAAGAATTGATCACTCCTTTGTGCTACCACTAAACTACCCTTGCACATACTATACTGCACTCACATTTCATTTAATGTTTTTGTCTTTCTTAGTATACTCTGAGTTTCTTGAGGTCAAGGACCATATTTTACTTATCTTTTTCTCTCCAGGGACTAGCAGAATGCCTACAATTGCCAAATTCACTGTAAATATCTAGTATCAAAAGGGATTTTAAAGGACATGGAAGCAACCTAAGTGTCCATCGACAGATGAATGGATAAAGAAGATGTGGCACATATATACAATGGAATATTACTCAGCCATAAAAAGAAACAAAATTGAGTTATTTGTAGTGAGGTGGATGGACCTAGAGTCTGTCATACAGAGTGAAGTAAATCAGAAAGAGAAAAACAAATACCGTATGCTAACACATATATATGGAATAAAAAAAAATGGTTCTGAAGAAGGTAGGGGGAGGACAGGAATAAAGATGCAGACGTAGAGAATGGAATTGAGGACAGGGGGAGGGGGGAAGGGTAAGCTGGGATGAAGTGAGAGAGTGGCATGGACATATATACGCTACCAAATGTAAATAGATAGCTAGTGGGAAGCAGCCACATAGCACAGGGAGATCAGCTCCGTGCTTTGTGACCACCTACAGGGGTGGGATAGAGAGGATGGGAGCGAGACGCAAGAGGGAGGAGATATGGGGATATATGTATAACTGATTCACCTTGTTATAAAACAGAAACTAACACACCATAGTAAAGCAATTATACTCAAATAAAGATGTTGTTAAAAAAAAAAGGGGGGGGATTTTAGATACAATTGATTCCAACTCAGTTTGGTTTTATTATAGTTTGTTAATTTTCTTGATAATTGAAATGGTGAGAGGTCCTTGAGACCTGTGTGGAAATCTGTACTTCAACACATTCAAAATATTAGAGTAAATCATATCTAATTTTCATCTTTTAAATTAAAACATCAATATCAACAATTTGATAGACTTCAAGCCGAATGCAAAGTAAGTGCACTTGACTACTTTTGTCCACTTTTCACAACTTGGCAAGAAGGCCAAGGGCTAACTTAGAGGCATTTCCAAGCCTTTTCTCCCAGGTAAGTCAGGTCTAGGTTGAGTACCAGCGCCACCATGATGATGGCCATTGCCCTTCATTATAAGCTGGCGAGTGACGTCTCTCCCTGAATCTGCTAGAGTATCCCAAAAGATTTGCGGTTTTCTGAGGCAGTTTCCCAGGCTCTGGAAATCTATAGGATAATCAAAAAATACTTCCTGGCTTCCAGTTCCTCAGAGAAGGTCATTTTGAAGAGATTAAATGTAATCACTGGCTGAGTATCTCTTCTGCTGTCATATAAGCAGAAACCAATTAGAGAAAGAGTACTATTTTTTGATAAAGTGAAATGTGATTTAATGAACTGGAAGTTTATCATCATTGAATCATTTTTATTTCTCATGATTTTTTTTGGTTATTAATCATCATAACTCACTTATATTTAGAAAATACTGATGACTTGCACTTCTAAAGGCATTTACTTTTCTTCTAGGTTCTTCTGAAAATGAGGTAAAGACAGAAGGAAAGAAATTTTAACAAGTATTAAATACATCTCGCTAAGCTTTCAACTTTCTTAAGTGCTATTTTACTAGGATTATAAGCAAAAAATTTTCAGCTTCATAAAGTAAATAATGCCTCTTCATAAAACATATCAAACTGATGTTGACCTTAAAAATAAAACAGTTATTTTATCAGCAAAAGTGGGTTTATTTAGGAATAGCAGAGGAGTTGCAATTCGGGACAAGCAAGCTATAGCAAAAGCCATAGACAAGGCCATAGAACAAAGGAGGGAAATATTATTGTAGAGAGAAAAAGGAGGAAGTCAGGAGGGGTTGTTTTGAACAAAAATCCTTTGGAGAAAAGTGTGAGTTCAGGGAGCTGGCGGGTTACTCAGGGGCTGAGTTGCTGGGCTAGTCAGTATCTTGTGGGAGATGCCATGCGCATCTTTTCCTTTTGGGGACCTGTAATTGATGATTCTTTCCTATTGATGATTCTTCTCTGGGGTCTGTAACTGACAATTCTTCCCATAGTTGATGTCCAGTGGTACCTTGTGAGAGCTTCTCCTTCTGGCCTCCTGACTCCATTTTAGTAAGGTTTCCCTTTATTAATTTTCAAACCAGAAAGCCAAATAGTGTTTCAAATGGGGCTGTAGCCAGTTGTTCTTATTACAGCTGACCTTTGAATAACACAGGTTTCAACTGCATGGTTCACTTTTATATGGATTTTTTTCAATAAATACCTATCACAGTACCACACAATCCACAGTTGGCTGAATCAGCGGATGTGGAACCATGGATATGGAGGGTTGACTGTAAAAGTTATATTCATATTTTCAACTGCACTGGGGTTGGCAGCCCTAAAACCTCACGTTGTTCAAGGCTCAACTGTATTTCCCTATTCTGTAAGATTTAGTTCTTTAGAGTCACGGCCATTAAAATTTTCAAGGTACCAAATATAAGCAGAGAAGGTTTGTTTCTACAGTTTTTTGCATGAACAGCAGGGAGAAATGACAGCTGACAGCAAGTGGGAGGAACACGAATTAGAGAAAACACAACCTGATCATCCCAAAAGGGCCACGGCAAAGGGACCATTTGTGAAGGGGCATAAACGCCTTCAGCACCATATGGCAACTAACATTATCATGACGGTCTGAAGGATTGGGTAAACATTAAATTGTGTTCCACGTATTGGTTTAAAGAAGGCAGGGAAGGGTTTTAATCAGTGGGTGAGCATTCACTAGGTCAGAAAAAAATAGCATTTACTAACCACTGTTTTAAAAATATGTATTATTTTGCCAATAAATGCAACTAGCCAACTGTATTTAAGCATTATTTTATTATTTCTGCTGAGGGATTTCTTCTGAGGTAGCCCAAAATTTCAGGAACTGCAGCCTTTCGTTGTAGCCTCTGATTGTATTCTCCTGCCACTTCGAAAGCTGTTTTTATCTAACTTTACTTGACTTTTAAGTTACTTACATGAAAAATATATTTCATTTCCTAAGTGGTACAAGTGGTGTAAAAAACCTTTAGATATTTTTCTATCTCAGAGGAGAGAAACAGCAGTGCTTTTTAAAACCCATGCAGCCCAAATGTCCCTAACTCAACTGGCATCCTGACTTGCCTTTCATGTCCTTATTAAAGGGCTGAAGACCCCATCCCCTGGCTATTCAGGGCTCTCCCCAGCCTTTCCTAGAATTCCTAGGTGCCTGCGGCCGCCTTGTGATCACTCAGCTCCTCAATGCCTTCTTACCTCTCTGTTCCCAGGACTGTTCCCTGCTCTATTTTATTTCTCTCCCTAAACCCATTATATCACTGAACCTCAGGAACAAGGATGTTGTGTGAAATAGGCTTTTATTAAAAATTTGGTGGTAGCAGAGGAGAATTACAGCATG